TCCATAAAAAAGCCAATCTCAAGTTTTGTAAACGAATGGAAATTCATTTTTATTTATATAGAATGACTGCATTGTTGTTTCAAAAAAAAATAAGACTGAAAATTGTAAAGATGTGAAACTGAAAAATACACGTCGTTTCAGTACGATGAGTACAAATAAAAGTCGTTTGAGAGCTATGTTCAGTTGTAGACGATAATACAAACAAGAAATTAAAGTAACGTTAACTTACGTCACTACTCACTCACTGTTTTAAAATTAAAGCTTACAATCTAAAGCTATATTTGATTTACAATATAAGAATCGCAGCAGACTCCTAAATAAAAACATTTGAGAATTTCTTCACCTAAAATAAAAACCAATTTATTTATTTTATTATATAAATAAAATCACGCCTTTTATCCCCGAAAGGATAGGCAAAGGTGCGCGTTATGATACTTAATGCCACTGTACAACGTAACACCCACTTTTCACTATTTATGTTACATAGGTACCGGGCACATTTCCAGACTCCGTGCTACTACTGACATTTTTATAAACCCACTTTGCCCGACACGGGAATCGAACCCGAGACTCCTTGCCGCGGCAGTCGCACTTGCGACCACTCGGCCAATAAGGCATTTATTTTATTTATTTATTTGTCTCAGGCATCTTGGCCCATAGTAAACTATACAATACAAATTATTCAAGTTACAAATACCTAGTATACATACGTTTACATAATATTCAATTTTACTGCTAATTTTCCACAAAGTATCGGAGTCGTATGTCGTTCGGTGTCTGGTACAATACACAGAGCCAGGCTATAAATTAGACACGTTATAAATTATTTTTAATCAGCTGTTCTAAACAGGGTTACCTTTTCTTTATTATCTCATTGAATACGGACAATGCCATGAGATAACTGTTAGTTACCGCTTTTGTAACTGCTAAAGACCTTGATCTAAACTTTAAACCACGTTTAGGCGTTTCTCACTCGCAGAGATAAAACGAAAATGTACAGTCAACTTAGTCATTTAGTATGCAGGTAAGTAAACGGAGATTGATTGAGTATAGAGACAGTAAGCATTGGTGGTTACAGAACCTACCGATGGTTACAATCGAAATAGCTAAATTTTTATCTACTTTATATCTATCGTGAGACTTACGGCACTTAATGCCAATGTACAATGTAACACCCACTTTTCACTATTTATGTTTTGAGTCCCGTGTAAATGGGGGGTGAGCCTATTGCCATATACTGGGCACATATCCAGACTCCGTGCTATTACTGAGATTTAAAAAAAAACCTAGTAATACTTTGCCCGACCCGGGAATCGAACCCGAGACCTTTTGCCCAGCAGACGCACTGGTGACCACTAGGCCAACGCGGCAGTCACTTATAAATATAATTATTATATTATTCTTGGAATTAGTCGAGAACAGACACGTGAGTGAACTGGAGACTTAATAATTAACTAGCTGTTGCCCGCGACTTCGTCCGCGTAGATTAATGACTTCTGACAGAATTAATCAGAATCAGTTCAGTGCCCAACTAAGATTTACTTATTTTGAAATGATTTATCGTAGTTTCAATAAATAAATAATCCCGCAGGGATCTTACCAGTACAGTGCCCGATCACGTAAAGTTTGAGTAATAAAAACTATTCTATCGACTATTGTTGTACCGAATCTCTCTAAAATAAGTTTAGTGGTTAAGAGTTAGAGAGTCCTGGGGCATTGACGCATAGTTCCCGTTCCCGTGGGACATCTGTGATAAAAACTATCAAACGTTACCCAGGTCCCAAATCATCGTTTTATCGAATGTAATTCAAAAAGATTCAATGATTCTTAATTCAATGGCTAAGAAGATTTATACAAACTCTCATTCCCTATGTTATCCTCTCAGGGGTGGAATTTATCAAAATCCTTTCTAAGGAGATACCTATGTCATAGTAACTTTATGCATCCAAAGTCTCAGCCCGAGCAGTTTAAAACTGGCAAAGTATCATACAAACTTTCACCCTCTATTTTACCCACTTTGGGGTGAGAATGTTCAAAAACCTTTTTAAAGGGACGTTTACGTCATAATATCCATCTGCACGCCGAATTTCAACCCGATCGATGTAAAACTGACAAAGCTTCATACAAACGTTCATCCCCTATATTACCCCATTGGAGGTGGAAATAATCAAAATCCTTACTTGGGGATGCCTACGTCATAACATCTACCTGCATGCCGAATTTCATCTGCATCGGTGTAAAACTGACAAAGCTTCATATAAACTTTCACCCCATATTTTACCCCCTTAGGGGTGGAAATGATCAAAATCCTTTCTTAGGGGATGCCTATGTGATAACATCTATCTGCATGTCAAATTTCAATCCGATCGATTTAAAACTGACAAAGTCTCATACAAACTTTCATCCCCTATTTTACCCCCTTGGGGGTGGAAATTATCAAAATCCTTTCAAAGCGGATGCTTACGTCATAACATCTATCTGCATGCCAAATTTCAACCCGATCGGTTTAAAACTGACAAAGTCCCATACAAAGTTTCATCCCCTATTTTACCCCCTTGGGGGTGGATATTATCAAAATCCTTTCACAGCGGATGCCTACGTCATAACATCTATCTGCATGCCAAATTTCAACCTGATCAGTTAAAAACTGACAAAGTTTCATACAAACTTTCATCCCCTTTTTTACCCCCTTGGGGGTGGAAATTATCAAAATCCTTTCTTAGCGGATGCCTACGTCACAACATCTATCTGTATGCTAAATTTTAGCCCAATCTGTCCAGCGGTTTGGGCTGTGCGTTGATAGATCACTATGTCAGTCAGTCAGTCAATCAGTCAGTCAATCACCTTTGAATTATATATATAGATTCAGAAATAACATCACTAAAAATGACTTAAAAGGTTAAATGGGAGACAATGCCCAAGTCATTAAGTCCTATATTGTTGTAAGTATTGTACTATATTTCTTGTATTAAGTTGAGATAAATAAAGAAATAAAAAAAAATTACAATTTAGTTTAATAATAGCGACTGCCTTTGTACTATATCAATATTTATTATATCCTTCCTGCACACAAAATGACTGGGCTGATTGTACTAAGTCCTTATCCTTAGTAAATAAGTTTGATAACAATCGCCCAAACACGAATACTATATATATAAGGGTTTCTTAATGAAGTTCATATGGCTGCTAAATGTGCCTAAATGGACAAGTACTTTAGACAACAATACACCACTTAAAAGTATATTATAACTGTATACGTTTTAAGTGTGTGAGAGCCATGCTTCGCCACGAATGGGCTGGCTCGACCGGAGTGATACCCGGCTTCACAGAAAATCGACGTGAAACAACGCTTGCGTTGTATTTCGTCTTGTGAGTGTGGTTACCGGAGACCTAATTGGGTAATTAGCCCCCCCCCCTTCCACAATCTCCTCAATCCCTGAATTCCCAACAATTCTCAAATTCAAATACTCAAAAGGCCGATAACGCGTAACGCCTCTGATGTTCCAGGTGTCCATGGCGGTGTCGATTGCTTACCATCAGGTGATCCATCTGCTCGTTTAAAAAAAACTTTAATACGAGGATGCTCAGAATATTAAGACGTGTCATCTATTAAGTTCTCAGATTTGAACATGATATAACTTAGGATCAAAATAAAAAATCTTTAATAAGTAGATCATTATCGTTACTCTAAGAACGTGCACTGTTAAAAAAAGAATATTACAACAATCACAGTGTATCTCTAAGAAATTTGATGAAGTTCAATTAAAATACTAAGTTTTCTCCATGAAATATAAACTAAAAGAGCAAACAAACATATTTCGTTAAAAAGCAAAGTTACAAAAAATTTATGCAACATACTTTTTGCAATCATATTAATTAACCTATGACCTGATGTCTATTTTTTTTAAATAGTCAAATTAGACATATTAAACTCAATTTACTTTTTACTAATAAATACCCAACATATATACAAACAAAATTATGAAAATATGCGAAATCTTACATGAATAGAAACTTAAGTAAGACAACATGAGATGATCGGATTTTTTAAAATGGTGGTATTCGTGTTGTCCTTTAATCCGTTCACATAACAATAATACCGAGAACAAATTGCCTAAATGGGGCTAATTGTAAGTATATTGCAGCTTATCAGTCCGCACTGTGGGACAAAGCACAGCCGTTGCATTCGCCGACAAGGACACACACGCAGATACAAAACTGCTAGAAAGGCCACGCAGTAACCAAAAAAAAACATTGTTCCATAACAGCGATAACTCATTTAAATAAAACAAAGATGCAAAATAGAATGTTATATGTACTATTAGTATTTAATAATAATTAAAAATTAACTAAGAGATAGAATGAAGCGCTTACAAACGAGACTAGGCCTAAAGTTGAAGGTCATAAGATCGTCAACCGCAAGAGCGAAAATAAAATCGGCAAACATAGATTCATTTGCCTACACTGTATCATCGTAAGTAGGTAGGTATTTTATTAAAATCGGTCACGGTCAACCTGTTAGATGTCTGCAATCAGTGAACAAGTTGACGTTGAGAATTTCATATTTTAATATGCATAACTTTTTAGCTAGAACGTGCGGAATTTGCCTAAGTCATTACTGTGACTGTGACAATAAACATTAATAAATGCTTTTTATAAGCTAATATTTATTTTAGAGGTAAGTATTAACTTTCACAAGAGTTGATTACTCGTTAAAAACAGAAAGTGCTACTTACATTACTACTGGGTATTTTTTCAAATTTAATTCATTTTGAACTCTATGTAATTATTTGAAGAAATATCTAGTCTTGAACAAGAAATCTTTGTCATATTATTCCATTGTTTATAAAATACACTTAATATAGAGCAAACAAGTTGTACAAGAAGTATGCCTTCAACTTTACTCACTCAATCTCACCATGAGAAGATTGCGCCCAGGTAATTAGCGTTAACGTAAACAATCAATGCACGCAATGTCACTTCCATACTACATGTAGTTCGTTGTACGCCACCAAGGCGCGTGCGCAACCACTGCGCCGACACTCCACCACCATTCGCCGAAGCGCGCGCAACATGGCGACCCAGCTTCTCACTTTGCTCGTGAGTATTCCTTATTATTTCATTAGCATTTTATTACTTAAATATATTTACGTTACCTAATATTTATGTTTTTGTAGACGGTTGATTTCAAATGTTAGGTAATCGATCATGCTCACGGCTGAGCTAAAGTAGAGGGTTCGATTCCGTGACACAAATGTCATTGAATAGGATTACGACTAAGAATTTTTGATAGTAACAAAGTGTTATGGTAACAATCGATAATAATTTAGTATTATTAATGCAATATCGACATATTAGGTATGTAGTTGTCCTTGAGAAAAAAGACCTGAGTAATGAATTTACAAGATAGATAACATAAATTAACTTCCTTTGATTATATGGGAATGACTACAGTTTTCAATTGTTTATTTGTAATCGATTATTCATCATTGTATAATTTGACCCTGATTTTATTTTATAGTTTTCTAACACTGTCTGAACTTAATAGACGGATCCTAGTGAATAAACAATACTTACAATCGAATGATATTAGTCATTTGCATGGTAATCAATTTCCAATAAGTTTCACAGCAATTTATCAAGGTACGACCGAATTATGGTGTGATCTAGATTGCCAAGCAGCAGTCGTATACCGCCCTTTACATGCTCTTACGCATAACCACGTTCATTAAACTTGCACATAAAATCATGTGTGTACCTACCTACTGGGCCCAAAAGTTATAGATACAGTTACCTTCACTTTTTGTACCTAAGTATGTGATACTTGTACCTCAATGTATGTTATACTAACTGTTCCCCGCGACTTCATTCACGTATAATAATGGCTTTAGCAAAATTTGGGATTTTTTATTTGTCTTTTCCAAGGTTAATTCCAATGCTGTGCAATAAATCTCATTGGAATCGATTCAGTACCTAAGTTAAGAGAAAAAGGGAAGAAATATCTTCCCTTTTTCTCTTACTAAATATAGTATATGTCCATTAGAGACAATGTAGGATTTTTCAAATCGGTCCGGTAGTTTCGGAGCCTATTCAATTCAAACAAACAAACCAACAAATCTTTCCTCTATTCTAATCTTTCCTTTATAATATTAGTGCAGATGTAGATAATTATCTAGTGGATCATGGCAGAAGTTTATAGAAAAGGCTTTGTTCTTTAAAGAAATTTAAAGAAAAAAGTATGTAACTTAACATGATTGACTGACTTGAATTTTATTAAATACCTACCTACCCAAAGTAACAGGAATAGAAGGTTTGTGAAGATTTTCGCAGGAACTGCTAAACCAAACTGGATTAAAGATATACAAATAAAGATAATCACTAAACATAATTAAATAGCCTTTGAACCTGCTGGTAGAAAATAAAATGACTGGTAATTGTAGAACACTTCCGAATATAAATAAAGTACTTCCATTACAAAACCAAGTTAGTTTTCTATCTTCTTTAATAACCATGCGTTATAGAAATACAGACGAAGACAGTAACCATAGCTAATCTACTTGTAAAGAATATAATAAAGATGGTTATAAGTTTCTGGTAATGAAAAATGTTCTGGGCATTATACCAATTGGCAACTATAAGTATATACGACAGAAGAATTTCTCGAATTGTGAAAAGTCTGACTCGAATTACAATCACATGGTAAAGGAAAGTGTGGTGAATACATAGCTACGTATGTTCATAGTAGCAGGGCCGTCTTAGACGGCGCTGGGGCCCTTAGGTACACATTAATTCGGGGCCCTTTTCAAATGTTATTTTTTTACCCAGGCCTGAAAAAAGAATTTGTGCGGGGATCCAACTTGCTACAAGTTGCGTGGCCGGTTGGCGTGCAACGTGTAGCGAATATGTGTCCGTCATAGAAATTGTTGGTCCTTCGGGGCCCCATGAGTATGGGGGCCCTGGACACGGGCCCCTATCTTCTAAGTCGTTTATTGAGAAAGTTTAGCAACTGCTTATCATATATACGCCTTGTCAATTTTATTTGTTGTGTAGATAAAATATTTCCTATGTTGATGAAATTCCTGTTACCTTATTTCGTCAGTAATAGCTCAAAATTGTTATCAAATGACTCGACTGTGACTTATTGTCGCAGACTATTATTTGTTGCTACATAGACAAAGCACAGAGCAATTTAAAGTCGTAAATATACTGTGATTTCGAGTCAGCCTCCGCCCATGAACTGGTCACTTCTAGTCTTATTATATCTTTCGAGTCAGAGAATCGTATAAATTGTAAATTATTATTTTTTATTCGCTCAGCTCATGAAATAATATCATAAATATCTTTAGAGTGTCATTTCTAAACTAAATGTGACAAATTGTGAAAAATAATCGTAATGTCTTGTTGCTAGATCGGTAAATCAATCGGAGAAGTGATTGTTGTGTAGGAGTGATTTTAGGATCGCTTCCGAGCGAGACAAACAATATAAAAAACCAATATGACAATTCTTAGTAATAACACTTAAAACAAAATTGTAGCTAAATGTTAACACCGCCAAAAAACAGCGTCTGATTCTATACATAGATACAGATAAATAAAATTGGAGTATCTGTTTGTCATATTAAAATAACCGCTTTTTACTATATGCATATGAATATACATACGTTACATATACCAAATAAGATATTTTTAATCTTTGTCTGTCTGTTTGTACTGGCTAATCTCTAGCTGGCTATGACTAGACCAATTTTGACGGGACTTTACAGGCAGGTAGCTGAAATACTAAGGAGTAACATAGGCTTTTTTTAATGGGGGTAAATCATCGAATGACTGCTCCCGCCTGGGCGAGGCGGGAGGGACTGTCAGACTCTTACTGACTAAAAACCACCCCGTTCCTTCTCCTGCACGTCGAGCCGGAGCACCAGTTACCCGTTAGGTTCTGCGATACTGTTATTTGGAAATATGAAGCACAAAAAGTTATGTCGTAAATTTCCTGTTCTACATGAACGAAGTCGCGGGCAATAGCTAGTGTACCGTATACTCAAACATCAAACAAAACGCATACAATTGTACCTAAACCTTTAAACATTCAGGACGTAATGTTATTAATGTTCATGTAAGACCCTTACTCTATTGAAACGTAATTTTTGACATGATGTCAACAGATGTAGGTCATGTTACCGTCAGCCCGTCAGGTTAGAATGCACAAAGCACCATTAGGGTATGATCGCATTTGACAACATGATTGCATAAGCATGTATGTGTACCATAACCACTCCAATTGAATAGCATTCATTGAGTTTGTCACATACTACAAATCGCACTGCATTTTTAATGTTTCACGTACTTAGTTATCGAAATCTATTATTATGTTTAGAATTGTAACGCCCGAATACTGAAAGGCTACTCGATTTTAAATTGGGATGATGACAGGGTATGAAAATTAAAAATCTAATAAGTCCGTAAGTTAGGTAATTAAAAACTATTAGACACGTTTTTTTATTTTGTCGTATAATATAGCAATATTTAGATAAAACGAATCAAAGTTTAGGAGTGGGGGCTAAAACGTCATTTCTGATTAACGTCACTAGTTGTTGACAGCACTAGCTGTCATATTGACAGCGATGTCATCTGTCAAATGGGATAGAATTTTCGTCGTCTAACACTACGTATAAAATATACATAGAAGTGACGTCACGCGACATTTCAAATCAATATATCGTCGAAAGTATTCATTTCTGGAAGAAAATAAAAAATACGTTTCTAATGATTTAAAATAATCTACAAGACGGACATTAAAATAAAAATTAGGCAACTACACTATTGTACTTAAAAATCGTGCCATCTCTGTCATTTTACAGAGAATTTGTAGTGACAGAACTATACAAGCGCGACTTAAAATTTAGTAGCGTTTGAGAAGTCAATAATTTTATATTTAACCGACTTCAAAAATTAAAAGGAAGCCCTTAGTTAAATCTGTATGTATGTATGTTTGTGCGCGAATGTCTCGCGATTGGGTGAACCGACTTTGATATGGTTTTCAGAAAAGTGGTCGTTACACTAAGGAGAAACTTTTAGTACCTATATTAATTTACTGGCTAAAAAACTCTAGTAACTCGGTTGCATTACGGGCTACATCCACAGTATTTCATTCACCTCTGGTACCTACTTAAAGATACAAAACAATAGAATTGATTACTCAACAGTTTAAGGATGAAGTTAATAAGTAACTAACAACATTTTAAATTAAGTTATATAATGTACGTACGATAAATATAAAACTAACTAGGACCTATTGAAATAAATAAAATTCGAACGAACGTATACTACCTATACGTTCTACAACTACAATAGTTATTATATTTAGAAATAATATAATCGCGGCGCATGCAATGTTTTATTTCGAGCTCCATATTATTTCTTTTTGAGTCTAGAAAGACATGGAGGTTTTTAGATGCAGCTCTGCACATCGCCCGCGCCGGGTCATTAACCCCGAGCTGCACGAGAATGCACAATGATGTACTTACCAACCTCACTGCAAATGTCAAAGCGTTTATCTTTCTCTGTTTATAGGTACCTATATCTTATGTTTTCCTTATGAGGATTTTATACCATTTCTTATCTTACATATTATTCCTATATTATCTTCTTATATTGTCTTGTATATTCTTATATCATACATATTTTTTTCAATGACCTTAGTTTTCTACAATAGGGTAGATGACTAATTTTTATTTTAATGTCCGTCTGGTAGATTATTTCAAAACATTACACACGTATTTTTTATTTTTTTTACGGAACCGAATAGTTTCGAAGACATATTGATTTGAAATGTCACGTGACGTCACTTCTATGTACATTTTATACTTAGAAATGACGTTTTAGCCTCTACTTCTAAACTTTGATTCGTTATATCTAAGTATCATTTTATTTTACAACAAAATAAAAAAAAAACGTGTTTAATATTTGTTCATTACCTAACTGACGGACTAATTTCATTTTTAATTTTCATATCCTGTCATCATCCCTATTTCAGTCGAGTTAATTTCGTAACACATGGGATGAATTTTTTTATCCTATACGAAACAAAGAGATTAAGACTG